GGTGCGATAGCTGGTTAGCAGAAAAACAGATTTTTTAAATAGGGTAAGGAGTTGGAAAAAATAGTCGTTTTATTAGCTGTTGAAAATAATCTCAAAACCTCAACGCGAAATTTGAAAATATCAACAGGCCTACCAAGAACTAACAGAAGGAGAAAAACCCCAAATTCAGGTCATATAGGACCAGAAGAGTTCATCAACTCAGACCAGGTTGTAACCAAGTGCGTAATTTTCGGTTAAATTGTATTTGGGCAGACGAAACTTATCTGAGCAGTGCCCGCACAACAAAATCCTCATTCTATTGTGGAGCAGAGAGGACAAGAAATATTTTAATTTAGTGTGTGGGCAGGTGTTTTCAGCGGTAGAATTATCGGCCCGTTCATTTATAATGGCTCTCTTACATCTCAGAAATTTTTAAAGGTTGGAGATTTGTATCTCTTGTTTAGATACTTTCACGGGAAGTGTTCAAGTAACTTGGCACATTGGATTCCACCAAGAGCGGTACATATCAGAAATACACGACGGACTGTGGCTATTCATCGTTTTGAGGTTCAACTCAGTAGACCTCGAACTTCACTGTTTCATCTCATCACTCTTTCATCTGGAGAACGGCGTTTATGTGAAATAAACTTCCTGGGAACGTTTTTCCAAATGGATTTAATCTCCGGCGATTCAAATCCAATGTGAATCACTCACAGGCACCGCTCTAGGGGCGCCTTAAAGATTTTCCTGTAGTGCTTGTGTTTTGTCTTGAAAAAAAATTCGCCCTGAAGACGACAACTTTGCTGATGAAACGTGCGTTGAGAAGAATGTTGCATTTTTGGTGATTAGAAAACGTTCTTGTTTTGAATTTTCATTTAAAGTAATACCAAGTCGTAGTTCAGCAGATATGCTTCATCCGCAAAACTAATAAATCTGTTGCACGCGTCATACAAGAAATATATTTCAAATCAAATGAGCCAATTGATAATGAAAAAAAAACAAATTGAATAGGCTATAAATAACATCAATCTCGTTTAATAATCTATTAATACATTTATCAACGGAATATTTAGAATACTAAGTAAACCGAACTCTGTTTTCAAACATCAAACATACATGTCTAAGTAATTGTGGAAAATTATTCACAAAATTTGTTTCTTATTATAATGAAATTTGAAAAATGTTCATTAAATGAAAATATTTATTCACTTGTTTGAAATGTACACAAAAAATTGAAACAAACTGCAGAAAATATAAAAAGTAATCTACGAATATCACTGTAAACTGTAAGTATGTACATACTTAATTCATACATCAAACATTCATAAAGAAGCTGAAACAAATATGATTTATCTGTCTTTAAAAAAAATCTGTCTTTAAAATCTGCTTTTCCGTTAATCAGCTGTCGCCTCCATACGAACGACAACTCTCAGAAGTTGAGAAATTTGTGCGAGCTAAGGACTAACGAGTTCTTACTTTTTAACGTGTGATTCCTAACACGGAATGAAATTTAACATTTCATTTTGGAAGAAGGAAGTTCCTAACATATAATTTAGTTTTGTTATACAGTGTGTAACATTATATTTATGAAAATAAACTAAAAAAAAACTGGAGAAAAATTAAAACTTATTTTTTCATAAAAACTCAGGTCTGTACGATTTTTCCCGAAACTCATATTTTAATTGAAATTGTTGGAATTATTAATGAAAAACTGTTAAAATTAATGTGCATTGAAGTTTGACGCTGAATATCTTTTGAACGGTTAATTTAATCGACTAATCATAAGAACATTTTTTGTAGAACAGTGAATATCCTATAAAACCATGAGGTGTTTCGCTAACACGGTAGCTTTTTCGTAGTTGGAACGTACTACGAAAAAACTATTGTGTTGGCAAAATATGTCGTGATATATTTTAAAATAAAGTTTGTGGAGATCAAATCGTAAGGTGTAGTTTATGAAATTACTACGGATCTTCATCAAGTAACGGATACTAGTTCTGGGAGTAAACCTGTTACATTGCAAAATCACTCTCATTCCCCTATTTTGAAGTTTTTGTAACTGACACATTTTATTTAAATTATAAGAGGACAGTATAGAGGGACAGTACTCAAAGTATGATTGTATCGGGTCTTCCAACAGGGACTTGCTAACTTTGACAATTGGTAACGGCCATCTTGTTGAAGCTACATCTGTCAAATTAGTTGTCATATATTCCGTCTGTTTGGCCAAATCACCATGGACGGATATAGTATTTAACAACAAGTGCAAATAATAAAATTGTTTCATCTAAATAGGTGTTCTGTTCGGACAACTTACCACGCGCTTCGTCCATTTTGCGTTCGCCATAATCGTCCTACCGAGAGGACTACTCGCAATGTGCTGGATGAATTTGAATTCACTGGTTCAGTAAACAATCTACCAACAACCGTACGTCGACGAAACTCAAAGTGTGCCGAAAACATCGCCGCTGTCCGTGAGAGTGTGCAGGGGAATCCCTGGCAGTCGAGTTTGCGTCGCTTACGAGAACTCAGCCTTTGGCAGACCACAACTTGGCGAATTTGGCGTCGTGATTTGGGCCTGCACCCGTACAAAATTCAACTCGACGTGTGTTCGCTGAATCAGTTGGCAACTGACCCTAATTGTAATCGAAAAATCATCTTCAGCGTTGAGGTCCATCTCTAAATGAATGGGATCGTGAACAAACAAAATTATCGAATTTGGGACCAAGCCACATGCATCTCGAAAAAGTCACTGTTTGGTGTGGATTTTGGTTTGGCGGCGTCATCGGTCCATATTTCTTTGAGAACAATGTTGACCAGGTCATCACTGTCAACGGCGAGCACTATAGGTAGATGATTAACAACTTATTTTGACCCGAAGTGGAAGATCTGGACAACGACATGTGACCTTAACAGGACGGCGCTACATGCCACACAGCTCATGCCACATTGGATATTCTGCAGGAGCGATTTGAGGGCATGGTCACCTCACAGGAGGTGATATGAACTGGCCACCGAGATCGTGCGATTTGACCTCGTTAGACTTTTTCTCGTAGGGTTTTCTTCAGTCGCAGGTGAACGCAAATAAGCTACAAATCACAGCGGTCCTTAAAGCCAACCTAATCCATGCCATCGGTTTTCTATAATCGTAAGGATTCAATCAAATTGAGAGAATAGGCACAATACAAGCATATTCTATGCTTAAGAGTAATTCTCGACTTTTTGATGAATTCAAAATAGCACATAAAATAGTTATTCATGTAACGTAATTATTTAACTGGTACTCTTTGCTGGTAATAATATAAATCTGGTATGTTGTCAGAAGTCTGACGTCAAAATTATTCAGTAAATAAAGTTGTGTAAAAAAGTTCTAAAAAAAATGAGACTATAGTTTATCAGAATTTTATCTTTTTTCAGATTGTGGAAGATGAAAATTCCCCACAAATCTATAAGAAATTCTATTCTAGTTTTCATCAAGTTTTAGAAATGTATATGGAATGAAGGTATTAAAAGGAAATGGAGTACTGAAAGGCATTTTAAATTATACGAATTTTATTTCAACTCACTTTCACTTATAAGACAAATTCAACAGCAAGTTAGCAGTTACACAAATCTGTACAGAAAGAAGATAGAAAAACGAAAAATTCAACACCGCCACATAATTTAGACAAGTAATACGTAACCTACACATAGCATATAAATACCATGATTTTATACATAAATAGTTGTGTAAAAATATGTCACGATTAATTTAAATTACACTTATTACAAATATTCTCACTCTCACGGAAAATATTTTCATAACCGTGTTTCATGATCATATCTAAAAACTTTTGTACAGTAATGATTAGATGAATATACAATTTTGTGCATTGAAAATAATGAATAATTAATAATTGTTCTGATATTCAATTGCCTGTTTAAGGTATTTGGAAATTTATACAAAATATTCAAAGACTAACAACAATGAGGTTTACTTTCAATGGTCATCTACATGCAGACTTCACATTTCAGCATACAGGGTGTAGCAGTCTCTAGAATCTTGTAAAGATCTGATAAGGTTCTGTCAGAATATCATATGAATTTTACTGAAACTAAACTGCACCAAATCAATTTTTTTCAAGTGGGACACCTTAAGTTTTCAATTAGTTCATACAGCAGTTTTTGCAAGAATAGTTGAATATTTCTGCAAAAAATGAAATACATAGAAATAAAGTTATTGAATTATTATATATCCTTAGGGAATAATTCTAGGAAAAAATCCATGAAACAAGTGATGAAGTAGATGAAGAAAAATAGACAAATGAAGGGTTAGTTCATACAGCAGTTTTTGCAAGAATAGTTGAATATTTCTGCAAAAAATTAAATACATAGAAATAAAGTTATTGAATTATTATATATCCTTGGGGAATAATTCTAGGAAAAAATCCATGAAACAAGTGATGAAGTAGATGAAGAAAAATAGACAAATGAAGGGATTTGATCTAGAATTGCAAATAAGTTGGGTTTAAATTGAGTTATGACTTTGAGAAGAAATAATTATGAAGTAAAATAAACAGGTGAACAGAATAAAAGACCAACTGGATCACATCAAATTAAGTAAGCCCAAGACAATCCAAGATAATGAAGATTTAGGCAGTCAATTTTCACCTAACCTGTATGTGAATTTGGGGATCGCAATAAGAGAGTGTGGATTAATTCGCGCCTGCAAAATGATTATCAGACAAATTCAGATGCTATTGGGAAGTACTGTCACCTCGTTAAACTTAGAACAGATATGAACTGATCTATATAAATCCTACAATTTAATGTAATTGCTGCTCTACAGTCCTTCTATGTAATAAATGTACCAAGTGAAATGTGCTTGAACGTGGGAAAGAAAATTTTCCTTTTTACTGTATGTCAACTTGATAGAACAATTTCAATCCAAGTTTGTTTAGATTCTATCAGTTCTAGAATAACTTCAATCTCATATAACCTATCCCCATGTCGAATATAATCAAGGATTTAATTTTATTTAAAAAAAAACATTAACTTTTCACTTCTCCATAGCCAAACAGTATGTAGTGCATACTGGAAGAAAAAACGTTCCTAAAACACCTACTTTCACTTGAGCATTGAATTACACGAAAGAAAAAATGCTTTTGAAACAAGTACTTTCATACAAACATTGAATGACACGAAAATCACCTTTCTCTATTCAGTTTGCGCTACGTAACATTTGTTATGGAATAAAATGCTACACTTTTGTTTGACGATGAAGAACCAGAATGAAGCCAAAAAGCTTTTATGAAAAACTGATCTCTTCTGAAAGTATTCAATTTTCAATTCATTTTATTGTATTGGTAGTAAATTATTCAATCATTTGTCAGCCAAAATAAGGTCAAAATGACGAAACTCGTTGACAAAAAAAATTATTTTCTAGTTGTTAGACGGTACTTTATCGAACTCTTTCAACAATTTATGTTATCATATTGAATATTGTGTTCATCTTCTTTGAAGTATAAAACTTTTTGTTCACTGCTCAATTTTGAATATACCGAAATATATCTTCAATTATCCAGTTTTTGTCAACACGAGTAATTTTGTTCTTAGTTGGTTCATAAAAACGTTGCCATCACTCTGAGACCATGTGGCCAAAGTAGAGATTTTGAAAATGCTTAGACATGAAAGTATACACACAATCATGTGGATAACTCAAAGCTAATAAGAATAATGAATGAAAGTAGAGGAACTTTCAGCAATCCACCACAATCTACAGCAACCTCCATACAAATTCTGTATAGCATCACATTAACATCGGTGATGCTTAACCAATCAAAATATTGGAAAATTTTGAAGTTTTAACGCTCGAATTTGGAACAGTACCAGAATTAGTTTTCAGATCTTCAAATGGAGAAGTTGCTATCTGCTTGTAAAAAGTAATGGAATCGGGAAAACTTTTGAAAAGCACCTGAAACATCTAAAAGCAAATAACGATTTACAACACCACTATAACTATATGTTGTGTGGTTGCACCTCAAAATAATGTTACATGTCAGGTGGTCAAAAGGCCAGAGATACTATGATTACTCCTTCAAAGGAAGAGACTGGAATAAAGAAAATGTCATTCAAAGCTTATACTGATCCAAGGTGTTAGAGTGACTTCTGGAGGGCTATTCTAGTAATTTTGAAGACCTTCTTGAAGCCGCTATTTGGCCTACATATAATTTGTAGGTCTGGCAAACATAAAATTTTTCCCTATGTCATTGTATTGTTGTAGCCGACTACAGCTGTAGCTTTTCAATACCCCGTTGAAGTACCTTTTCTGAAAAGGAAAAAATCCTGAAGGAATAACTTTGTCTGACCATGGCGAGTTCGACCTAAATGGAAGCAAGTGTCTTAAGTAATTATTCAAGTCAAGGACTTTTTAATAGCATACCAGCCAGGGGCCGTTGCCTCTTTTCTAAAGAGCAGCTCATAAAAAAATTGTGGTGTAATGCTTTACAGCCTGTCATTAAGTTTAGTTAGCTATCAGCTACCCAACAAGCAGAAACAAAAAAACATTGGCACAAAATACTTGGGTTCACTTTTTTTTCCAACATCTCCAGTAGTTATAAAAGGTAAAACTGGAACCTTTGGATTAGAATGAATCCAAAACAAGCACCTTTTCCATTCGCCAGAAATGCAATACTCTTCTCGACGCGAGTTTAACCAACCATAAAAAAGTGTATCTTATCTCCTGAAGACCCCAACTTGATTGGTGAAACACGCGTCTAGAAGAATATTGTATTTTCTGATGATTGAGAAAGGTGCTTTATATCAGATTAGATCATGGCTAAGCCCTTGATCTGGTGATATTCTCTGTACATGTATGAAGTTTAGATATTTACTTGATTAGATAAGAACAACTGATTTTTTGAAATCGCCTGTAAGTCTGTATGTAGCATATTTACTTGTACTTGTTCTTTAATTTGATGTATAGAGTTGTTTGTGACTTCTACATATTAGTTGTCTCACGTTCCAAAGGAAAAGTAATCCATTTACAATTTTCATTTTCTTTTTTGAACAAAATACTATTATATATGTATATAGTTTTGAACAGTTTCCAAAACATACCTAATTTCATTAATGGATTTACAGTTCCCGGCACAAGTTATAGTTCCTTTGATTCACTTGTTTGAAATCACTTCAATAATCATAAATTATATTTATAAGTTGTTTTTTTTTGAAGGCTGGATAAATCATTAGCTAGTTACAAACCATAATAACCCATATGTACAGAATACCTATGACACCTCCATTTTGACAATTTAAAACATGTGACCTGGAGTGGTACGGTAGGTTCTGATATAGGACCCATATCAACAGAGAAAGTTGTTTTCGTGCCATATTATTGTATCAAAACATTCCTTTAGTGTGAAGCAATATACAACTGCGTTAGAAATTATCAAAGGCGGTGTTCGAAGGCAATGGACGAAGTATTTTAGGTGTTCTCATCTGATAAGTGACAAATTTAAGTACAGGTAGCCAGATTTTAATAATGAAAATTCCCTCTTTCTTTCGGTTGAAGAGGTCCACCACCATTGGAATGAAACCCAAGAACCAAATCAATACTGTAGTATCTGATGTGAGAAACACTAGAACACTTTGCTGCCTCTGAGCCTTTGATAATACAGGGTGTAACATACGTACGTTAAAATATTCAAGTGACGTATTCCTGAGACAATTGTAATGAAAAAAGTCTATATAAACTAGTGTCCGGAAATGCTTCGTTTCGGAGATGCAGGGTGTTGAAATAGATTTTTTTGTGAATTTTTTGAAAATAACTTGCAAAAAAAAAGTGCGAGTTTAGAAAAAAGGTGACTACTACGAATAAAAAGTATAGAACTGTTTTGGCAAGGTATTTTATAATGAATGAAAAAAGTTGTAACTCAATTGAACATTTTTTTTTTGGTTTCAGAGACATTCAATACATTTTATTATTCTTCTATCAGATTTTTCAGGCGTTATTCTTTGTGAGAAACAAGGTCCAGTAAGTATTCAGCTGACTGTAATTTTAACAGTTTTTCAACAGTATTTCAGTTTAACTTTTTTTGTCCTTGTAATAATAATGTAAGCCCTTTGGAAAATTGTGTGTATCATACCTTAATAAATAATTTTTTTCATAAGTAATTCAAACGGGAATAATCGACACATTTCAGAAGCTTGTTATTTGATACATGCCCAATCTGTCAAATTGAATTAAAAGTACATAAACCACCTCACATTTTTTCATCTTCTCAATGGCTTCATTACAAATTTTTTGAGAAAAACTTGAAATATTTCACTTAATTCTCAATTCTGGCATTTCTTTAGGTATTTACTTTTCAAGGCTACATATTCTTTTGGCCAATGAGAAACTTTCATTCATCTACTTCTAGGAGAGTAAAAGGTTCTTCTTGGTCATGGTTCTTGGTTTTGCTAGAAGCATACTCCTAGATTATTTGAAACACATTTTTTGCATATGTTCAAGAATGTTCCGAAATGTTTCACAATTTTCTAGTTATTTGCAGAACTTGAAAAATACAATATAATTTGGAGATCTTAATATAGTAGAGTTAGTTGATACAGTTTGTAAGATGCCTTGTTTTAAAGGGGAGGTATTAATCGTCATTATTTTAGATTATATATTCTCTGAAAGACATTTTTTCTACAGAAGTCAATGTTTCTAATTGTTTTTTTTTGGTGTATAACCTTTCACGACCTGAAAAATGAACAAAGTTAAATCAAAAGAGAATCTGCTGAAGTGTATTCACCGGAGTCCAATTAGTAACTTGTCATATTTATAAATGTCACCTAGCTTGTGAAAAAACACCTCAATCATATTCAAATATATTTCTTTTGACAATCATCTTCTATTAAACTTCAGTAGATTCTCTATGGATTTAGTTTTGTTTATTTTTCAGATTGAGGTTTTATGTCATTACCACAGTCTGTGTCATTACTGTTGATTTTTTAAAGTTGAATTTCATACATACACTAACCTGGCTATAGTGGGATGACTCACAGCCCAAATTCAAGAAGTCATCATTTCAAAATATGAACATCATTTGTCAAGGGCATTATAAAAATTATACAACAAACAGAATTATTTTTTGAACAATTCAACAAAATCAAAGCAGATACTAAACAATTACTCAGGTAGAGAGAAAAACAGTTTTTCCAAATGATTAAACATACCAATTGAATGTTAAATTTGATCTACAAGGCAAACATCTTCTTTTAACCACAGAACTGAAACTTGTAGTGCTTGTTTTGTTTTCAACACAAACAACAAGACAAAAAGGTGCATAGCCACATAGAACACTGACAAATGGCATGAAATTGTCTAAAATGTCAATACAAATTTGAGTTCATATGTAAAAGTGGCCTGTTCTATGATCTTTTTATTATCAAAATGATTCATACTACTTTTAGCTATGTACTCCTTTAGGTATATTATGTTGTTTTCACTAGTTATATCGAATAAAGGAAGTTAACCAGTTTTTCAAAGAATGTAACCATATACTGTGCAAGTCCTTTTTATAACATGTATTGATGATGATATCAATTCTTGTTTTTTTCAAATCCTTTGGGTAAATAATGGAAAATATATGTTTAGTCATTTAAGTAATAATTTCTAGTAAATCTCCAAAATGCTCGAACTCAATATATGAAAGAACCTAACAAACAAATTCTTTTATTCAGTAGAAGGTATTGAAAGTATTACTGAAATGATCAACTAGTTTTGTAAGGCGAGAAATATTTGCACTGATAACATGAACATTATCTGCAAACTGATGATCTGCCTTCTTTCGCGTTGAAGAATAAGCATTGACGCAGTCAATGTAGGTTCCGCTAATGATGTCTGCCGCAGTAGCAAACGAAATGTTTGATAGTTCAGGATTCACATTATCACCACCCAACGGCCCTGATTTTGTTCTCTTTAGTGGTGACTCCGGCCATGGAAACCTATGTTCTTATATAACTGATAAATAGTTCAAACTATTGGCAGTTTGAACTGCTGATTATAAACATGATCAATATAGATATAATCGACAGTTAATCATCTGTGGCCCTTCAGCACTTTCGTATTTTCTTACGAATTACAGCTGTAACAAAATTTTGAATCAATCAAATTTATATTATTTCTCAATAGACATGATTAGTAAAACGGAAAGACTGTTAAAATAAGAACACCAATGCTTTTTTACATCAACTTTTTGTTTCAAATACGGCATCTTCTATTTTATACACATTTTTTTATAATCAGCCCTTATTTCTCTCTTGTGAATTGAATTAAAGAAATATGATATACACCTTATTACAGCAGAAAATAATGATTACGTTACATTGGAGGCGTGGTTACAGTACATATTTATACACAATTCAAATAGTTGAACAAGTAAAATCAAAATGTAAATCATATTCCAGTAGATCATTAACACTTATTTACGATAGAATATCTTGATTACGTTATACATACTCTACACTAAAAAAATCAACTACATGTTACAGTGTATATGAAAAAAAATCTATTCGACGAACTCAATAAAAAAGTCCTATCTAATCTAGATCTAACTATTAATCTACCATTAAAACGAAAATCAACGGATACTAAATTAAAGTGAAACCAAAAATGATGGGACTTCCTTCACAATTGTTTCACTTTATCCCTACACGATCAAGTCAGAAATTTTGTCAGTTCATAGAATAACTACAAAGTCCAAGGCACAATATTTTTACTGATATTTTCTAAAAAAATTCCTGAAGTTTTATGAAAAAACTTATCATGAAAGAAGTCCATCTCGGTTTGTGGTTTCAAATGATTCTGTGGGTCATTCAGAATGAGATCAATAATTCAAAACAGGCCATTATTTATATGTTGTTTCACTGTTTCCGATGAAGCCGGCCCAATCACAATTCGTAACTGTAGGAGTATTTTTTTCTCAATAAATACCGGAAGAGACTTTTTTGAAAAAAATACGTAATTGATATGTTTGGTTTGTAGTGTTTCACGCGGATAGAATATGACGAAAAATCTAGGCATTTATTTAGAAAATCCGTCTCCACAGGGTGATTATTATTCTAAATACTTGTTTATGAGTGGGGCGGCATCACTACTAAAAAAATGAATTATTAACATGTATTTATATAAAAAGAGCACAACCATATATATTTATTTTCAATTTTCTGATTAATTTGCAGTGATATCAAGAAAATCATTCTTGTAGCTCATTGATGGAAAAACAAACCTTGTAGCTGATGTAAAAATCATAATATGTTTGTACATAAAATCCAAATGGAGGAGCCCTGCATAATAGCAATTTGGATATAAAAATTTAAGAATCATTTAGGAACAAATTATTAGGCATGATGACAGTAAGTAACAAAATACGCATTTATTGTATTATTATGAGCAAGATTGTACTTGTGATGTACTGTTTGGAACCTCTGAAATTCTATCCCAACATCGAACCGTTATTTTCAACACCTTGACACGTTCAATCACCAAGTGATCATCTTCAAGAGAAAGTTAGTTATCAGATTTATCTTACTAGTAGATAAGGCAATATTGTGAAATTAATTTTAAGACAATTAAGACACAGGTACCTCCTAGCAGAGGTATCTATGATATAAATAAGGACAACATTGTATGTAGGTTTACTTTAATCTTCCTCTTGAAGATGGTCACTTGGTGATCTAAACACGTGTCGAGGTGTTGAAAATAAATGTTTGGTGTTGGGATAGAACTCCAGTAATATTTATTAGCAAGATTAATATTTCAATAAGGTGAAACTGAAAATACGGTAAACCTCCATATCTTGAACGTCAACCTGATCAAATTATGTCACATTAGAGTAAACAAACGAATATGACATCTTGTATATTTTAACAGTAATACTCGGCGCTAGATTTTCCCGATTTTCTTTACAACTTAATACTGTTTACAGTGACTGCTTTCTTTTGATGTGTTGTTATATTAGAAGTGCCTATTTTGCCACTTATTTTGTGTTGTTTTTTGTACAAGACGAACACATAGTTTATTCGGAATTTTTTTTGACATTTGCACAGTGCTCTACTGTGGGACTGCACACCAACGATACACTGTTGAATTCATTTTTAATAATAGTCATCACCAAATTTATGAAATAACTTTAGTGTTTACATGTATGTTTGTACATAAAATCCAAATGGAGGAGCCCTGCATAATGGCAATTTGGATATAAAAATTTCAGAATCATTTAGGAACAAATTAATAGGCATGATGACAGTAAGTAACAAAACATACATTTATTGTATTATTATGAGCAAGATTGTACTTGTGATGCACTGTTTGGAACCTTTAGTGTAGTAATGATATTACTGGAATTCTATCCCAACATCAAACCGTTATTTTCAACACCTCGACACGTGTTTCAATCACCAAGTGATCATCTTCAAGAGAAAGTTAGTTATCAGATTCATCTTACTAGTAGATAAGGCAATATTGTGAAATTAATTTCAAGACAATTAAGACGCAGGTACCTCCTAGCAGAGGTATCTATGATATAAATAAGGACAACATTCAACGTAGGTTTACTTTAATCTTCCTCTTGAAGATGGTCACTTGGTGATCGAAACACGTGTCGAGGTGTTGAAAATAAAGGTTTGGTGTTGGGATAGAACTCCAGTAATATTCAATAGCAAGATTAATATTTCAATAAAATGAAACTGAAGATACGGTAAACCGCCATATTTTGAACGCCAATCAGATCGAATTACGTCACGTTAGAGTAAACAAACGAATATGACATCTTGTATATTATAACAGTAATACTCGACGCTAGATTTTTCTGATTTTCTTTACAACTCGATACTGTTTACAATGACTGCTTTCTTTTGTTGTGTTTTTATATTAGAAGTGAAATAATGTAAACCTTGGAACCAGGATTTACAAAGGCAAACAGCGGTAAAGTGCCTATCGACTTGTTGATGCTGGGAGAGTTTTAGGCATCAAACAAAGAATTTTTATTAGTAGAATTTAGGAATGTTAAAAGTTCTAAGTGAGTACAATAATGATCTTTCGAAAACAAATAATGAAAATAAGTCCAAAGTGAAAGACACTTGTTGTTTATTGTTAGAGGTTATGCTACTGAAATGATATTTCGAAAACTATGTATTTGTCACACACTTACACATTAATTTATTTGTTTTAGGTCCTCCAGGTCATCTTGTGGCGATGATGCAATACTTTAATTACAGTTAGGACACAATGAAAATCTGTGCACAGTAAAAAGTTACATAACAAGGGTGAAAGATACAGGAGATGGAATGTAACATCAAAAAAAGTTTATTATTGAATTTATTCATCGACCAAGATCATATTGGTTTATAATCTTCAAATTTAGGTGAATACTTACGTCCAAGTTATCTTGACAACAATTAGGATGAATCCCGTCTTGCAAGTTTTAGACACTTGTTTTGTGTTGTTTTTTGTACAAGACGAACACATAGTTTATTCGTTTTTTTTTTGACATTTGCACAGTGCACTACTGTGGGACTGCACACCAACGATACACTGTTGAATTCATTTTTAATAATAGTCATCACCAAATTTATGAAATAACTTTAGTGTTTACATGTAGTCTACTCGAATATGACGTCACAAGCGACTCCATGACATTTTGAAGTGTTTTGTTGAGAATTTTGAACTTATAAATTACAGTGTGTTTATTTCATACCTAAACTTCATTTTTTGCGGCAATATGATATAAGTTGTATTTCCCAACATTATAGAACAGTATTTTAAAATGGGTCATCATGCCTACTATAAAATGGCGCAATCTCAAAGCCAATTTTCTACATTCAATCGAAATTAATATCAATAACAAGTTGATTTATATTCGATAAAACCCCAAAAACTCTATTAAACAAGAAACAATGTGACAGGTAACTCCTCTTCTGAATAATTTTTTATATCAATTACTAGAATTGGTGAAAAAGTAATGAACTGTTAATGAGGCTAAATGATTTTTTGATACATGGATATATAAAATGACGTTATGTCACAATAAAACGACAAAAAACAAGAACATTCATTCGATAACACATTCATAAAAACACTTACTATCTAATGCTTGATTATCAAATATGTATTTCAACCGATACTCTAGGAAACGATTTGTTTTCTTCAAAAATGACAATGTATAGGCATATATTTTTGAAACTTCAATAATACTACCAAGAGTGTTTCTAAACTTATTCAATGTCTTTGTGTTCACATCAAATTACTTCTTAATACGAAAAAATTCAACATGATACGTGATGTACATACAAATGTAGTGGTATTCAGAAAATATTCAACTTCAAAGTGAAACGAAAATTGACTACTTAAGTAATAATTTACCTATAAGAAGGCAAAGATGGTAAAATTACCTGAGCGCTTCCTTTTAAAATAAAAATTACAGTTTTACATTATGAAGAGTGCAGTTACTTCTAACAATTCATTTGCTCCAACCAATCAATTTTCAAAAGTTATTCAATATCTATATAATACCAATTTTGTGATCAATCAAACAAAGATAATAGTAACATTTTTGGATGGAGTGTTTATTTTTTACCAGCAAGTAGGTTATTATGAAACACCTGAAAATTTGAAAGGTTACAATCAAAACAATTAGAAAATTAGATTCCTATCATAGAGAAGACACAATTAAAACTAATAATTTTATCAATTATCAATGAAACAGTTTCAATTGAAGATTTTTTATTCGAAATTAAAATTGATAATAAAAAATAACTACCTACAATTAAAAAACCTCACTTGCCTTCTAAAGATGAAACCCAAATTTTCATCTTTCTATGATTGTTGACTTATGCATGACTAAATCAACTGCTGGGCGGAGAAGAATCATTAGAACACGGCACCCATGCTACGTTAGGGGATTGTTCGTTGACGATGACATCGTGCGGTAGAAGTGGATGAGCAGGTGTTAAAAATATCGGATGAGCGATAGTGAGATCCGCAGTTTGAAACTGGCACAGGTGTAGACGAGGCGGTGTTGCAGCTTGTTCCATCTCGTCTGCTCCATCCGACAAAACTCTGAGATAACTATAACTACCTTGGCCTCCTAATTCAGGCCTTTGTCATTTAGTGTTAGCCTGCAATGCTGCATTAATTTGGCTCCAGAGCTCTTTCTTGCAAGATTTAGACCTAGAATTAGAAAGATTGTCGAAATGATACAAATACCACAGCTTGAGTAGATTCTGCTCTCTGCAGCAGATATCAGCTTCACATAGATGATTTTAAATTTTTTTTCATCGCATTACATTGCAGGTTTTTGATAAAAAAAACAGTTATGAACCGTAATATTATGTTATTTCAAAAGTTTTGTACAAGTATAGAACACAATACTTCAAATACAAAAGAAAGAAACAATCTCTATGACATTTCTCTCGAAGTTTGACATTGCTCTTCCAAACATCTATATGGTGAGCCAAAATAAATAAATTACAATAATAATATTTTGTACTCTATACGTTTCTTTCCAAATTTCAATGTTATGCCTTTTACAGCTCATTACTATATGATGTCGTTAAGCAACTTTCAGCCATTATTTCTCTATGAATTCAAATTGAACCAAAACTCTGCCAAAACACCCGAAAATTAACCAAGCATTTGTCAATGATAGTGTCAGAGTCAATGAACGCACTATTTAACGTTAGTTTGCGAAATTTTGTTCCGGAGATTTTAATCTCGAAGATGAGCCCCGAAATGATTGACCTACAGCAATTAGAACTAGGATTTGAGGACTCTGGTGGAGACTGACCCATCACAAACGGTGCATGGGATGGCGGAAGAACTGGGCGTCAGCTCCCCTGCGATTTTTGATGGTTTAAAATGTATTGGGAAGATCAAAAATCTCGGAAAGTGGGTGCCCCACGATTTGAACAATCGACAGAAATCCTCGACGATTCTTTTTTGGATGGGATCGTCACATGTGATGATAAATGGATTTCTACGACAACAGGACAGTGGTTGGAGACGGATGAGCCACCCAGGCACTTCTTAAAGGTCATGATTACTGTATGGTGGTCAGCGGCTGGTGTTATTCACCATAACCTTTTGCAACCGAGCCAAACCATTCCAGCGGAGTCTTATTGTGAGGAAATTGACGAAATGTACCGGAAATTGTGTCAGCACTGATCAACAGAAGAGGTTCAATCCAGCTCTGCGACAACGTCTGTCCGCACATTTCACAAGTCACCGTCCGAAAATTAAACGAATTGAGTGTCGAAGTTCTGCCTTACGCAATATACTGCCCAGGCCTCTCGCCGACCGGCTACCATCTTTTCAAGCACTTCGATAACTTTCTCACCCGTAGAACCTTCGCCAACCATGACCAGACAAAAACGGCCTTCGTTAATTTCATCGAATCCCGAGTACCCAATTTTTATGCTTACGGAATTATAGACTTCTGATACGTTGGAAAAAATGCACTGATTCAAATGACGCTCATTTCGATTAAATTGAATTGATGAGAAAGAGCTGAATTCGATCAAACAAATCGCGGTTAATAACGGTTATAAGGCAGATATTATAAACGCCATGCTTTCCAAAAAACTACAAAAGCAAGCCATGGACCTGGTCTACCCATATTCAAGATGCGATAACGTCAGTTATAGGACATTGGCATATTTGGGTGAACAAACCAGGAATATTGCCCGTTTTTTGATGAAAAGGCGTAACGTAGCTTACAGAACGAATAATGATCTGAGTAAATTTATTAAAAACAATAAAGACAAAACTTCGGTGTCGGATAGATCAGGAGTATAAACTGACTTGTGGCTCTTGTCCAAAACTGTATATTGGCCAAACAGGAAGAACATTTTCCCAAAGAATTAAAGAACATAGAAGTAGTTTTCTAAATAGAAAGACCACCTTTTAGCAGAAGGACATGAGTTCAATCATGAATACGAAGTGTTACATTTAGAAGAGACGAGTTTGAAACTCAATCTTCTAGAATGTTTAGAAATCAATAGATCCAGGAATTCAAGTAATTTACAGAATGATCAATTAGAATTGAACAACTCTTCCTTACTAAATATGTTTTCAAATGTGCAAAATGGAACATAAGTTCAGGTAATTCAATTCATTACAAACTTAGGTAAAAAATCAGGTACTTGAAATTCAGGTACTTCAAATTGTAGAATGAGGTATATATATATATAGCATTGAATGTGTAGAATTAGTTATCAAGACACGCCCGAGGAAGCCATTGTATGGCGATACTCTGTTGCGTTTTTGTAAAACTGTCTAGTGAAAATCATACAATAAAGTGTTTTTAGAATACGTTAGTTATGGATTTTCATCAAGTATCGGCCGATTCCATCATACAGTGTCACCATTAAAGTGCGCACCATATGGGAAACTTTTTTTTCGAAAAGTTTCAATGAAGTTCAACTTCGGCACTTGTTTGTGCTTCAAATTTAACTTAAATTGTTTTTTTTTGAAGGCTGGATAAATCATTAGCTAGTTACAAACCATAATAACCCATATGTACAGAATACCTATGACACTTCCATTTTGACAATTTAAAACATGTGACCTGGAGTGGTACGGTAGGTTCTGATATAGGACCCATATCAACAAAGAAAGTTGTTTTCGTGCCATATTTTTGTATCAAAACATTCCTTTAGTGTGAAGCAATGTACAACTGCGTTAGAAATTATCAAAGGCGGTGTTCGAAGGCAATGGACAAAGTATTTTAGGTGTTCTCATCTGATAAGTGACAAATTTAAGTACAGGTAGCCAGATTTTAATAATGATAATTCCCTCTTCCTTTCGGTTGAAGAGGTCCACCACCATTGGAATGAAACTCGAGAACCAAATCAATACTGTAGCATCTGATGTGAGAAACATTAGAACACTTTGCTACCTCTGAGCCTTTGATAATACAGGGTGTAACATACGTACGTTAAAATATTCAACTGACGTATTCCTGAGACAATTTTAAGAAAAAAAGTCTATATGAACTTGTGTCCGAAAATGCTTCGATTCGGAGATACGGGGTGTTGAAATTGAATGTTTTTGTTTGCAAAAAATAAGTTATTTGCACGAAATTCGGTACCCGGGATTTTTTTGATGTGGGAAATCATAATTTCGTATTAATTTTCATGTAACGTCTAGAGGGCGCTATGTAAGTTGCCATTGTTCATTTTGAATTCCCCTAATTTTTTTGAAAGTAAACTTTTGGTACTTTTTGTGAAAAAACCTAATTCCCACACATTTTCCAAGTAAAAATAGTACACTTCCTCAACAACAAGATATTTACAATATTCCATATCCATGCATATTTCTTAGCTCCTGGGGCGCTGAATGAAGTTGCTGAGAACATTACAAAAACTAAGTATGTGGAGGATCTTGTCAAAATAAACGAATTTTTTTTATGTGTTTGAAAATAACAACATTCTTGAAATTTCTCATCAATTAAAATAACGAACTTACATGAAAAAGATGATGGAATGGTAATCTGAAATGTGAATAATTTTTAGAGATTCATTTTATATGGTTTTAGTAATAAATTTCTTTGAAGAGTTCTAGCAAATACGATTTNAGAACATTACAAAAACTAAGTATGTGGAGGATCTTGTCAAAATAAACGAATTTTTTTTATATGTTTGAAAATAACAACATTCTTGAAATTGCTCATCAATTAAAATAACGAACTTACATGAAAAAGATGATGGAATGGTAATCTGAAATGTGAATAATTTTTAGAGATTCATTTTATATGGTTTTAGTAATAAATTTCTTTGAAGAGTTCTAGCAAATACGATTTTTTTAAAATTCAGAGCCATATGTGTAAAAAACATTTTTGTCATTATCAAGGAAACTATTAATAGTGAGATAAAATGAGTGGTTACTTCTTCTGTTCATCATAAACTTTTATGCAAAAAGGTTCTATACTTTTATGTAAAAGTCTGAGTTTTTGAGAAATTCAGCTTTCGAAGTATAATGTTCATACGTTATATAATAAATTAAATGCCATAGTCTTATTCTGACTCTTTTTGCATAAAAATCTACTGATATCAAGATTTGGGGGGCGAGTTTAAAAAAAAAGGTGACTCCTACGAATAAAAAGTATAGAACTGTTTTGGCAAGGTATTTTATAATGAATGAAAAAAGTTGTAACTCAATTTAGATCAGTTCACCTCCACCGGCTAGTGAAAGGGATATTCAGAAAAAAAATCGTTCAAAGAAAGCAGTACAGCCATCTCATCGTCAGAGACTGCAATCTGCGGATGGCTGTCCTATAAACTCAAAAGAACAAAAACCCGAACCTAAAGGTCAAGATAACAAACCGAATCCAATATTTGGTCCGAGTTTGTATACTGCTACCACAAGAGATGACTCTAGGAGTACTTCATCAAATAGAAACCAAATAACGAGAAAATAACAAAACAAGACCTTGCAAATGCCCTTGAGTCTGTAAATGGCACACAAAGCGATTTGAAGTCTTACACAGAAAAAAAATGCTGGTTTCAGTTTCGTTGAACATAAAAAAAAAGATGAACAAATCCGCTATTGTTGATACTTTGAACGATTCCACAAAAACCAAATTGAAAGCAATGTAGAGTTTTGCTTTTCTGCACGTTTATAAACTTCATCCAGATACTACTGCCGAGGGGCTCAGTGAATATCTGCACGAAATGTTGCCTGAGGCCGTTTGTGAAAAGATGAAATCCAAATATCCCCAGTATTACTCAGCATTCAAAGTAACAATACACAAAAGGCACTTAGAGGCTGCGATGGCTCCTTCCATGTGGCCCGAGGGTACGGTGGTCGATAGGTTTTTTCATAGACTTGCAGAGAGAATGAAGGCGCTGTGATAAACTCTGATAGACCTCCCGAGATCTTTTTCAAAAATGTAACACTTTTACTATTTTTCATTTGAACATTCAATGTCTTGGAAATAAAATAAATGAACTCAATTTTTTCTTGAATAACAAAAATATCAGTGTTTTATGTTCGTCCGAACATTGGCAATCTGAATCCAACCTGAAAAGTATTAATATAGCAGAATACTATTTGGCTTCCTATTACTGCAGAAGTATAAACCAACATGGAGGCGTTTGCATTTTCTTAAAGTCAAATATTACATGTCGACCTATAGAAACGAACGCCTATAACCAAAAAGTTGTATCAGAATTATGTGCCTTAGAATTACCCTGTAACGATATATTCNAATATATTCGTTACTGTCATTTCATTCTATATATGATATGATAAAATGTGACATCTATGAAGTGTTGTTCAAAGCTGATTTCAAAATTATGTGTAACCAGTATTGGCAGCTGTTCCTCCTAGCATTAGCTATCTTTGATTCACAACTAACGTGAAGATAGTTAAGGAGAGAGAATTGAAGGAGGAAGATTTTGACAAGGAGGGATCAACAAAAAAGGGAGTTCTCTCTGGTAGAGTTTAGAAGGCGGAAGAGCTGAATATCTTGAGGTTGTTTTTATGATGTGAAAGTAATCACGGTGATTCTGGTAAATTCGAATATTTCATGGTGATCACTGTGGATTTAAGTCAAAGTGATCGATAATTTATTCGTTGATGAATTGGGGATTTATCAGATGCGACGATTATAGTCCTGAGATTTTCTGCCGACAAAATGACTCTCTGGTTCCAGGTGTGAAAGTTCCATGGAATAAATGTGAGAAATTATTGGCGAGTTTGACGAGAAGTCCCAGGATTTTTTATCGAATTGCTGATCACAGCAAGTCAAATTGAACAACAAACAAATACCATATGTCATAATCCAAATATCTTACATCATCGTGCAAGAAGCTCCAAATATTCAATATTCAAATTTTTTACTTGCTTGATACATTAATAATCAGAAACTAGCAAAGTTGTCCAAAGAACTCACACTATTCTCTACTGACTAGCCTGGGTATTCAAAGTAGCACTGGCTACGTTACAACACACATTCGTTAATTTTGAATTTAATCAAAACTCTTCTATCAAAACCCAGAATATTTCAATAAGCATTTTTCTGATGCGACATTTATGTATGAAAGGGAGCTTACATCTAGAACACTTACCCATTTCTGAAGGAATGATTTCAACAGGAGGTAAGAAAGGACTAATCGGAGTTATTACTTTATCACAGTCTTCCCGTTTCAGGTTGGTATACTGGCTCTTTATCGGAGGATTGCTGGAATAGTAAGAACTCACGATGGGTGTCTTCAGCAATTGGTGAACCTCTTTATCCAATAGCCGGTCCATTATCCTCGCCATCTTCCAACAATTATCTTTGTAAAACATCAAGAGTGCTATTGCAAGGTCTCCTCTCTGCCTCCTGGTGCCTTCACAAAGTAACGGGTGGTCTGCTTCAGAAACGTTTGCCTTCAAACCAAGAGCAGCAACTGCCGCTTCAAAGCCCAAATATTCATCCGAAGGTAACCGCATATTGATAATTTTGCCTCTGTCGCGACCGACAACACTCGGAATGACTAGCGCATCGAAAATAAAACTGGCCAACATTATGGGAAGCATCGCTTCCCCTCTGGATCTCAGAGTGCCGTCTTTGAGCGCATCGGCACGTTTTCTGAGGATTTGGAGTTCGTTATGACCCAACGGTATGCGTTTTAGTAAGTTTACCAGATCGGCTTCCTGATTGGCTAATTTGACTTCTAAGGGTTTCGTGCTGGCCGGCGGTCTAGCCATCTCAAGGCCAAACATGCCAACACGGAAAGCCAGATGAAAATGTTCGCAGTTTTCGGCGAGCACGGAGCACAAAAAGGCACATTTGGACAGGGTGCCAGAGGCCAGACAGCTTAGCTGATGGGTGGCTGGATTCATCTGCAGCTTCTTACCTAGAAATAATTTTCTAACAAAAAAAGTAGCTATGTGAAGTAATTCACCTAAAATGTTTAAAAGAATATACATGTTCAATATATAATAAAAAGATAATGCTATATGACATTGTTGACTGAAAGTACTTAGAGAAGAGTGGAAAACAAAATATTTGTCTTGAAAAAAGCTTTTTGTAAAAAATACAGATCATACCTATATATTAATCATCCCAAAAGAGCTACAATATCCCAAAAAATTAAGAAAATAATACAAAGAGTCATCATAGTTAAAGACGATGAAATTTATCCAGGTATCCTCTTCGAAACCTCCGCAAATGATACAGGTCCTACTCTAACGAAAAAAAAAAATCAGAAAAACAGATTTAACAAGGAAAAAAAAGTATTCAAGAAGAAGCCAGACAACAAGCAGAAGGATTATCAACTGTTCAACATCATTTTAACAATTTTGGATGAATGTTCTTGTTTATTATCTACTGTAAGGGTGATAACATCTCCCCTCACCAAGACGCCATCTATGGGATCGACAGAGAATTCAATCCTCGAATACAAGATAAACGAGGCTCCCCAAGACTATTAGTTGCAAAGCCAAGTTTCAACATCGACCCACCTTAGGTGCTAGGCTGAACCACAAATGCATTGCTGGACTGAACTGTCCTCAACTTAAGCTTGTTTTTTGAGCTCAGTCAGGTCCGGCAAACCATTTGTGGTTTAGCCTAGCACCACTGATGGGAGCCATGGCGGATCGAAACAGTACTCTCTAGTGTTGAATCATAAATGTAATCTGTTTGGGTTCTAGTTTCCACCTAGTTGACTTACAGTGAAAACTTTTTTGAATGATAGAGGACGAATTTCGCCGGAGCTCGATGTAAATTAAAGCTTGTCTTTGCAATTGACCGCATTGGGGAGCCTTGTTTATTTTTGATATTCGAGGATTGAGTTCTCTGTTGATCCCATAAATGGCGTCTTCATAAGGAAAGATGTCATCGCCTTTACTTATACTTAGGCTTGTTCTTTAAAGACAGTCGAGACTAGCAAAACATTAGTGGTTTGGCCTAGCACCCCTAATGAGACCTATGGCAGGTCGAAACAGTGTTGTCTAATGTTGAATCATAAATGCATCGTGTTTGGGCTCTACTTCCCAACCACTTACTGAAAATGCAGTAATTTTTTTATTGCTATTATGCGCCAAACTAAGCAACTATCATAAGAAAACAAGTAAAGCTGAGGTACCAGTCAATCTAATAATGACACTGATGATCTTTAAACATGACTCAACCTCTGACGGAAGCACCAAACTCTTATGAAAGTTCAAAATAGATGAACACTTCAATCTAGTAGACCACAATTGTAATCTTCATGCAGTCATTGTTCACTGTGGTTCTGGCGTTGAATCAGATCATTATTATCAACCTTAATCTAAACAAAAGCATGAATTTGTCTTTGATAAAAACTCAAGAAAAAATTTTGTTGCTCACCTAAATGTTTGGATATTCTCAACAGCCACTTAACGTCCTCTCCATAAGGCGGATTCCTTGCATACTTCGCTTGAGGTCTATCGTCATGGACTCTCCTAGCTAAAGTTTCTAGAGCCAACATACCTACCCTATAAGATGTCAATAAATACCTCAACTGTGCCTGATTGAATTGATGTGGCCTGTGTGTTCTTGCAACAGCTGTTGGAGGGTGGGGCACCATACCTGTGAATCAAATCAATATCACTATTATGAAATTTCACAAGATTTACTATATATTTAACACGCCTGAAGACACTATTATATATAATACAATACATGTTGTAAATTGGTGAGATGTTTTTTCAAAATCTCACAATCTCACAATAAATTCAACAAGGAATTTTACTTGTTCGGACTTCCATTGTCTGATTCAGGCCAAAAAAAGTTGGTAATCATCGATATATAGTACTCGCCGTCGACAGTGATGGCCTGGCCGCCAACATCGTTCTCGAAGAAATATAGACCCATGACGCCGCCATCCCAAAATCCACACCAAACAGTGACTTTTTCGGGATGCATTGAACGCTCTTGGATCTCATGTGGTTTGGTATCATCCAAAATTAGACAATTTTGTTTGTTCACGTACCCATTCATCTAGAAATGGGCCTCTTCGCTGAAGATGATTTTGGATAAAAGTTAGGGTCAGTTATCAACTGTATCAGAGCCCATTCAGCGAATACACATCATTGTCTATGGTCGTTTACCTTCAGTTTATGGGTCAGTTGAATTTTGATAAATTGATAAAACAATTTTATGATTTGCACGTGTTGAATGCTATATCCATCCATAGTGATTTTCAAAACAGACTGAATAAATGACAACTAATTTGACAGATGTAGCTTCAACAAGATGGCCGTTATCAATTGTCAAAATTCGGAAGTTCCTGCCGGAAGACCCTATATAATATACTGTTTACAAAACCAGAAAATTAATAAAAATTGCAGAGAACTTACCAGGAGGTGGTGCTTGATATATGTGAGTAGGCGGCCTTAGACCTTGCACAGGTTGAGCTATTGTAACAGCTGGACTGTAATACTGCAACTGAGCTTGTGGAGGAGGGGCCTGCTGAGGAGTTGTGAAGACAGCTGGAGGAGGTTGAGGATACTGGGAGGGTGCGTTTGTGTAAGCTGCTTGTTGGGGAGGAGGTAAATTAGCATATGACGTTGGTACAGGTTGGAATGGGGGTGCTGTCCCTTGAGGAGGAGGAGGTGGATATGGAAACTGATACATTTGAACGTGTCCAGGAGGTGGAGCTTGGTGAAGGGGGTGTAAAGGGCCCCCATAACTGATTTGAGGCTGGTGAGGATGAGGATGGTGAACATAATTATAATGACCCACATACATTCCAACAGGGGGTGCAGCATGCTGAAAAATGAANTCCAAATATCACAAACTAAACAGGCCCTGTCCTCACACCAAGGAGGAGGCAGGAAAAAATGTTGGATTGGGGAAGGTGTTGGTGGAAACCAGCAATAAAATAAGAAAATGCTTATGAATAATTTGAAAAAGAAGTCATCATTGAATGGATAAATTTGAAATGAGAAATGATGAGGAAAAAAAACTATATTGATTTGATACCAAATTCAGAAAATATATTTTCTTAATTTTTTGAATAAACAGTCATCCCTATATTTTTCATCCAAAATAAGTTTTTAAATCACGGGATCTCAAAGAAGTATAATGTGTTTTGTTCACAAAAGTCATTCATCTCACTAAAATTTTAATCATAAGATTTTATTTCATTTCTAACGAAATGAATGAATTTATATCCAATAATTTATTAGATTTATATAAATTTCCAATTGACTACTGAAAGTGAAATTTTAATATAGGTACTGCTTTATTTTACTATTGAGCTAAATTGAACACTTGTGTGTTGAATTTGTGGGAAACCTCCTGCAAAAAATTCACCAGAGATCCAAGTGAGAGATTGGGGTCTCTGTCACATTCCTGATCTACTACAAATGTAAGTTATCTTATGTGTAAATGTAGGTGTTTTGTCTGAAAATTACTAACCTTATTGTTTTCATAAGATACTCTAAGAAATCTTCAAGGTAATTAGATCATTTATGGACAAACAGTTATTGTTAATACATGTATATCAATGACCATTAAATTATTGTTATTTGCATTTGCTCCATGAGGATCCATAATGGTATCGTGAGCCATTTCACTATCCATAAGCTGTTCACCTCCAGGTGTGTGCCTGATATACAACTCATACCAGTATTTGGCTACCTGGAATAGCACCTCGGGGTACACTCCACCTCCTTTCGCAGCATTTTCAACGGTGTGGCAAGCGTGCTCTAACATTTCTTCGCTTTGTTCCTTGCACTGTAGTATTGCTCGTTGGATTTCATTTGGATTGAGCGCATGAGCGTGTGGAAGGCAGGAGAGAGCCAGTTCTGCAGCAGCACGGACCATATTCAAATCACAGCCCCGAGAAGCCCGGTCAGCAATGCTCGCAGCTTCGGGAGGAGTGAGATGGCCCTCCCAAGTATCTATGAGGAATGATATTGCTGCAGCTCCAATTTCCATTGCTTGACCTTCAGAAAAAACAAAATTAATAATTCTGAGGGACTCATGTATCATTAAGAAACAATATGGTTTTTGTTAGAGTAACAATTTAAACAAAAAAATATAATTTAGATTCTTTACTGGTAACCAGATTTTTATACATTTTCAGTTTAATTCGAAAACTACTTGTTCATAAAATATGTTTTAGGCTTTTCAATTTTATAGGGTGAAATCTTTTTCAAAATATAAACTGAGATTTCTTCGATTTTTTTGTTTTTTATTCTACTACTCAGCATGTTAAGCAACTCAATTTCATCATAAGGTTCTAAACATTTAGTAAAAGGGTTGCAATCAATCATGTATGAATAACCAAAATACAAAACTAGTTATTTTCCAAAGATTATAAATGTGAAATCACCTTGTTTTTTGAGAGTTATTTATATATACAAATATCGAAATATCACAAACTAAACAGGCCCTGTCCTCACACCAAGGAGGAGGAAGGGGAGGCAGGAAAAAATGTTGGATTGGGGAAGGTGTTAGTGGAAACTAGCAATAAAATAAGAAAATGCTTATGAATAATTTGAAAAAGAAGTCATCATTGAATGGATAAATTTGAAATGAGAAATGATGAGGAAAAAAAACTATATTGATTTGATACCAAATTCAGAAAATATATTTTCTTAATTTTTTGAATAAACAGTCATCCCTATATTTTTCATCCAAAATAAGTTTTTAAATCACGGGATCTCAAAGAAGTATAATGTGTTTTGTTCACAAAAGTCATTCATCTCACTAAAATTTTAATCATAAGATTTTATTTCATTTCTAACGAAATGAATGAATTTATATCCAATAATTTATTAGATTTATATAAATTTCCAATTGACTACTGAAAGTGAAATTTTAATATAGGTACTGCTTTATTTTACTATTGAGCTAAATTGAACACTTGTGTGTTGAATTTGTGGGAAACCTCCTGCAAAAAATTCACCAGAGATCCAAGTGAGAGATTGGGGTCTCTGTCACATTCCTGATCTACTACAAATGTAAGTTATCTTATGTGTAAATGTAGGTGTTTTGTCTGAAAATTACTAACCTTATTGTTTTCATAAGATACTCTAAGAAATCTTCAAGGTAATTAGATCATTTATGGACAAACAGTTATTGTTAATACATATCAATGACCATTAAATTATTGTTATTTGCATTGATACAACAGAACAAATGAAAAATTGTTTAAGCCTGAATTCATTAAAAAATATTGATATTTATTATTATCCTTATATCTTCTATACCAGGATAATTGAATTTACTGAAATGATTATAATTTATATGTAGTAAGAATCAAATCGAACCCAAAAATAATAAGTGGTATATATAACATTCTGATTTTTTTACCAAAAAAAAGTTCATAGAGAATCTGCGATTGTAAATTGATAAAGTGATTATGTCCAGCTTGATAAAGTGATTATGTCTAGCGTGACAAAACATTGTGAAAAATAATTGTCTTACATTTATCACATTTTACAGTTCCAAAACTGTTTTTCATAGTTAATGTTCTATTTTTCTATGGAATTAAATATCTTAAAACATCAAAAAAATTATTACATTTCATATCACGTGAACATCCCCAATCAGTCTTACTATCATAACAGTGCTTACCAGTTATCCATGAAACATGAGATGAGTAAGTTCTACTGAGCCAGTTGGGGCTGACGCAATTGTGCAATCCCAACGCATATAAGCCCAACTGAAAAGCGCACATATGCAAAGCCCTATGGGGACCATGATGATTCTGATTAGTGGACGGTTGAGTAAACAAAGAAGTGCTGCTGGTGCCGCCAGCTTTGTTCAACACCGTCTTGGCTAATTCAAACATGAAATGAGCTCCAGCTTCCGAAGGTTGATTCGGTATGGAGGGGTAAGCTCTTTTACCCTTGTATCGGCCATCTTTGGCCCTCGTTACTGGCCCTTGTACAGCAACTGCGCCTGCTTGACCAGTTACTGATAAATTGTTGATTCCTTGTTCTATCTCCGCACTTGTAGAGCTATGAGGTCTGCTGCAACAAGCTGAAAAGGAAATTTGAATTTATCAATCAGTTGGTAAAAATATAATTTTATATTCTTGTCTTGAATTGTCAATGTTATTTTAAGTGCTATAGGCATCTGTCTTTTAAATTCAGTACTATTGTAGTTGAAAACATATTCATGAAAATTTGCATTGAATCGCTCTTCCATCTGGGTATATATTATATCTGAAAAAGGTTTTTTTATACCGATCCTATTCCTTTTTTATGTTTACTTTATATTACTCAATAGTAGCGAAAGCCTTTGATTCAGTAAGAAATGAAATTATGATCAGTAAATTGTACAACATTGGTATCAGAGGATTAGTACTTGATTGGATTAAGTCATTTTTCTCTGAATAACACTGCATCACATATTCAAGATATTATGCTTGGTGTACCTCAAAGTTCAATATTAGGACCGCTTCTGTTTGCAATCTATATAAATGATCTCCCAAAATATATCAAGCATGGTTACACCGTAATGTTCACAGATGACACTACCATATCAGTGTCTGGTTGCACAATAGATGAGTTAGAATTCAATATAAACTCAGTCATGGACGCTATGGTTTCTTGATGTGACAAAAATCAACTGAAACTGAATTCAAATAAAATAATTCATTTGGGTTTGTCCTTGAGAAAGACATTGAATTTTAATAACGTCCAACTATCTGATACAGCCAAACTCCTAGGTATGTACTTAGAGGTGTACTAGGTGTGTCTTGGGAGCCTCACATTGATCATGTGTGTAAAAAAATTGAATCAGTCAATATTTGCAATACGCCAGCTCAAAGAGTTTCTAGACTTAGATGGTATCAAGACGGTCTATTATTCTTTGGCCTATTCTCACATGGCTCAAAATATACTAATGTGGGGTACTTCTGCTGGCGCAAGACGTGTATTTATTCTACAAAAAAGAATCATGAGAATCATATTTGACATTGCACCGAGATATAGCTGTAGAGCTTTATTTTCAAAAATTAAATTTATAAAGCTCTGCTTCATGTGAGATACAACATAGCTCATTTTGATCACGAGTCAGTCACTCATAATTATGCAACACGAACTAAACACTTGACCATCCCAAAACACAAAACTTCAACATTCAAGGAATCTCTTAGGCATCATACTTTATAATNTAGAAGTAGCTTCATAAATAATAAAATACTTACACTTCCATCATTATATATATTGCAATGCCTGCTACATGTTAAAAAACATATAAGAGGTTATACTACACATGATGCAATCCACAGTTATAACACTCGAAATAATTCAAATCTGTATCTCCAGAACCATAGAGTCAACAGAACCAGAACTGGCGTAAATTATTATGCTCCAAAAATGTATAATTCGCTTCCCCAAAATATCAAAAATCTACCTTTGAAGGAGTTCAAATACAGAATCAAAAATTTTTTAATTAAAAAAGCTTTTTATTCCTTAGATGAATATTTTAGTGATGGTTTTCGAGACATGTAATACCACTTAATCATATATATTTTAACTTGTTTTATATTTCTATTTCATAGTTAGTTTGTTTTATTTGCACAAATGTATGTATATCTATAGTAATTGTCCATTTAACCATTCAAGTTATCTGAATATTTTATATTTTGTATTTATAGATAAGCAATATCTGTTATGACCTGTGTAAACTTTGTATTAGCACCAAATATATACTACTACTACTACTACTATATCATAAGAGAGGCAATCGAGGGCCTTGGCGGGGAAAAGCACTAAGTGCCTACATTGTGCAACATTTCTGAGGCTTCTCATTCATCTCTCATACCATTCTCCTCAAAAAATTGGCATTTTATTGGATAAGAGGACCAGTATTGATGCTTATCCAATCTTTTTTGGATCAGCTTTTTAGCATGTTATTATCAATAGATGAACTTCTGATGATCTAGATACATATTTTTTGCGGCGTCCCACAAGGGTCAGTATTTGTGATCTATGTAAATGACATTTTTGAATCATTGCAATCTACTAACCAGAAATAACATCAACCAAACTGCAACTCATTACGTTCATTTAGTTCACCATATTTTCATTCATCCTTAATATGTATGAATGTCCGCTTACTACAAATAATATTTAATATTTTATAACATCTAATGTTTTGAGCGTTGAGAATGGAAATAATCAAGTAGACTTCTCTACAAATCTTTACTGATCTTATCACTAACTGATTACTATATAATTTTATTCCACTTCCATAAATATAATTACATTCTTAGTTATTCTCACCTTTTTTTTTAGGTATGGGCGGAATTTCAATCATCAAATCTGGAGGGTTCATCAGTAGTTCTTCGGCGAGTTTCACCCCCAAAATGCACGCCTCTCTATTATGTCCATGTGCGTGCAATCCCTCCGCTCGTGAAAACAAAACATCCCAAGGATCGTCGCATTTCCTCAAGCTGGAGAACATGGTCGACTTGTCCTCACTGTCGTCCAATTTAACGTTAACGTCACCTTGAGTACTAGCACTAACTAAATTTATGTCTTTACTATTATAAAAGTACATGTTATATTCGTCGCCAGACTGAGGTGATTCAGAGTTCGACGAAGAGGTAGATTCGCCTTTTGACGGCCTTCTGGAAGTGGACACTTGCGGAGGCGGCGTGTTCGGAGTCCAGGTGTTCGAGGTGCTAGGTATCGGTATGGACTGCAAAGGCTTGTAGTTCTCTTTGCTGGTGTCGTTGTCGCTCGAATTGAGGGAATGCTGTGTGGTTGATGGAGTGTTGCTGTCTTGGCTACTATTACTAGACGAGTCGCTACCGCCACCTTCCTGAGAGTCAGAGTCGTTGAATCTGCTTTCTTGTATGAGATCGTCATCAACCTACATATCAAACACAATATATAATTCAACCAATCTACACCAAGGAATATATCTGAGTACTTTCAGATCATTATAAAGATCATTATTGACATTTTTCAACGTGAAATAAGTATTATCCTAATTTAGACACACTCTCAGGGTCACTGTTTTTCGAGTTTGAAAGCCGTGGATTTTTGGAATTTATGCCTGACGTTTCGCTGGCGCGAGTGGCTAGCTTCTTCAGAGGTTTAACCATCATGGCTTGCTGTCCGATGACTACTTTTCAGGCTTCGTAAAGCGTATGTATGCCTTGTCAGGTAATCAGTTGTATTGGTACCTGTATTTGTACCTGCACTTGTACCATATTCGATATGGAACCCCATATTAAGGAATTCGAGAATAACGAACAGAATGAGAACAGGCAGAAAGATTTTAATGTTCCAGGTTCAAGTACAGGTACAAGTACAATTACAGGTACAAGTGCAGGTACAAATACAGGTACCAATATAACCGATTACCTGTCAAGGCATAAATACACTTTACGAAGCCTAAAAGTTAGTCATCGGACAACAAACCATGATGGTTAAACCTCTGAAGAAGCTAGCCACTCGCGCCAGCGAAACGTCAGGAAGAAATTCCAAAAATACATGGCTTTCAAACTCGAAAAACAGTGACACTGAAAACCTCAGCCGCGAAAGTCTAAACCATTTTGTTAGACACATTCTATTCAACATTTTTGTTAATGATATGCCCGAATGTTTTGAGAACACATAATTTTTAATGTTTGCAGATGATTTGAAGCAATTTATACTAATGCGATCATTGGATGATGCTGAATTATTTCAACAATTTGTTTGAAGGTGATTGACAATGTTTCGTGATGAATTTCACTAGTTCGGACTTCCATTGTCTACTATATAAAATGATTTGAAATCCCTGAAACAAGTAAAAAAGAATAATTAATAATTTATTTCAACAAGATATGAACTACTTGGTTAGATGTTAGACGGTGTAATGAAAACAATTTGTATATGAACATTGATAAATGTAGTTGTATGAGTTTTTACAAATCAAATAAGAAATTTCACACTTCATACTTTATCAAAGAAAACCATTTTGACATATGTGACGTCTGTTAAGGACCTAGCTTGCCTTATACACAAGAACAAAGGTATCTTTACTTCTCAGTCTCACCACAATACTAGACAGGCTTGCCAACAAGTAGTCAAATCAAGAACTCAATTATAAATAATGGAACGAAAATGTATAACAAGTTACTTGAAAGTTCAACAGAATGTGTCACGCTATTATCTTTTATGAGAAACTTGAAGGCAATTGTGGTCAAAATGGCTTACTATACATTAAATTAATTTCTTGAGGACAATTTCGACACATAATCTTCATATACAGTGTCATCCCCAAAGTATGCACCATATAGGAAACTTATTTATTAAGGGTTTTTCGATAAAATGTTACTACTGATAAAAGTTTGTGCTTCCTCTAAAACTAAACATGCACGAACAAAATACAGTAAAACACGTGTAATATATGAGGAGCCTTCAAATATTTGATTTTGAGGACAAGAGTAAATACTCTCATTTTGAAAAGTCTCGGGAAATGTTATTTGAAAAAGTTGTTCAGCATTGAAAAATACATCTAGATTTGAAGTCATGGCAATCCAAAGGAAGTTTTATTTTTTTGCCCATTTTTTTAAAATAGGGACTACGAAAAAAGAATTTGCTAAAACGATAAATAGACAGCATCCTGTATACGACGCTTCGTTTTGAAAGCATGTAATATTACGAATTACACAACTATTGTGTTAACCACGGTCATTTTTTTGAAGAGTCAAATAATTTTCAGTTTTTGGTGCAAAGTTATTTTTATTTTTTGTTAACACCGGAAATTACTCAAAATCATACTGTATTGTAACAAGAACTTAATATTCAATAATATCAAATCACAAAACATCAAAATAAAATAGGTATTTCGGAACAAATATTTCAGTAAAAAATTGTTTGTCGACAAGACTTCCTATATGAGGTTTCCATTGAAATCAACACATTATAAAGCGAGCTGATTCAAACCAACCTTCAAAGTTAATAAACAGCAAAAAAAAGAAAATAATTTGGAAAAAAATTGTAAGGAGCACAATACAGATTCAATAATAGAAGTGATATACTAACCTCACAAAATCCTTCGCTACTAACACTTGACCTGTTTCCATCCCTATTATTGATTTGTGGATGTGGAGGATATTCTACAGGATTCAAGTCAATCACGTTACCAAAATCTAATCTGGTTACCCTTGTATGTGAATGATGGTGGTGGTGATGATGGCGACGGTGATGGGAATGGGTCATGTGGGGATTTTCGCAGTTCAATACTGCTTTGCTGGAATTGACCTTGAACAAAACATTTTAAAATCAAGCTATGAAAAATTTCATGAATAAAATAATTTCAAGAAAAACTAATTTGAACAAGTGAAGACTTGCCATGTAACAAACTGTTAAATGGTTTTGGATGGTTATTGTTGAATATGAACGACAACAGATTTTCAATTATTAGAAAAATATAAAGATCGGAATGTTAGAGATAATACACATTAGTTAATATGAATACTAACTGTTTACTTACTTGGGTCACCTGACTTTCTCCTCGACTACTATCGGCACCATGTCGGAAACAAGTAAATGGGCAATGATACATAGGGTTTATGTCCTGAGTGTAGGTGATACCAGGCATGGGATAGTCATCCCAGTCTAGGTAGCAAGCCTCTATGGCTGGTTTGAAACCAGTGAACACTTCTAAATCCATTTTTAGGGAGCTTGAGTTTTTGTTATAGTTCGACGTAGAACTTGAAGTCGTGTTGCGACATTTACTGACTTTTTCTAAAATCTTCATGTGCCATGTGGTGAACTGAAAAACAGCGAAAAAAATTGGATTGAGTAAACTTTCAAATATGCACTCTGAAGGCAGGCGTTTTGACGGCAGAAAAAAGAGGTTTTTATTATCATCCACATTATCATGACAGAAAAATTGGAAGTAAGTTATGGTAAAAAATTACATTATTCTAAATATCTAAAAATCAAGTAATAGATGTCTTTGATATTTTTTGATAGAGTTAGAATTTCAATCACCACTTATCAATAATTAGGTTTTCCTTAAATCAAAAATAAAAAAAAAAATCAAATACTTCATAATAACTATTTTTTGAGGAAGGAAATATTTGTTTGTTCCTAACTGATTTTCAAACGAAAGGATCTGAAAGAAGTATTTTTTTTCATAATTGTCTTGATTATTAGAAATTGAAATTTGAAGGTTTCATATTATTTCCTAAGAAATTTATGAATGTACAGAATTTGGTATCTGTAACTTGTTTCTATAACAAATAAATTATTGAGTTTACATAAGTCTCTAATTTGATTCTGAAAATATAATTTGAAAACCAATAAATCTTGACACATGAACTGAGTTCATCCACAACAAAAATGGTATATCATTCCCTGATTGAGTCCCACCTGAGATATGGTGTTGTTTTCTGGGGATATTGCAGTCAACAACTTTTTCATTCAGGGTGTGTTTTGCAAAAGCGAGTGGTAAGATACTTATGTAAGGTGGGAAAAATTCCCACTGTTATTTATATTTTCATACTGGAAACTGTTTGCCTGATTTACAAAAAACATAATATGGTTGGAACTCTGGAACATATAAATTACATAACCCGGCAAGTAACAGAAAATAAAATACTTCCTATTCCACAAACAAGGTATTCTTTAATTTATGAAAGTAAAAAGGTGTATAATCACATACCTTACGAAATTAGGAAGGAAAAAATCTATAAAAAGTTCAGAAATCTTGTTAAAGATGCCTTTGCAACAAAAGCATACCACAATCTTGATGAATATTATAATGGAACTTTGCTGTTATTTATTATATGTTTTTTTGTTGTTTATATTGAATAATTCAAATTATATTTTATACTGTGATATATCTTATTTTATTGCCATGACATGTGAACTTATGTTCAAATTGTGTATATTTGTTTTTTACATTTTTTGAAAGGGACTATACAAACTATTTTGTTTACAAACATAGATAAATTTTATTTTTTATTGTTATATTTTATCTATTAGATATGTGAACTTAGTTTTGCTCAAATTGTGTTACTGGGTATTTGTGTTTTTGAATTGTTTCGTTTCTTTTATTCTTTGAAGTGCTATACATACAAAAATTTTTAACAAGCTTTGTCAATAAGATTTTATTTTCTTGGACAATAGAGTATACGTCTATCTATCATTTCCAAATTTATATAACATACGAATTGAATATGATTTGAATATTGGATAAATGATGACTTTTACTCAATAAGGAGCAGATGTCTATTTTTGTGGAGAATTTCATAATAATCAATTTATTCAAGGGCTGGTACTCTCTTGAATTAGGTGTTTATGTGAAATTCTATTGAGAGACACAACAGGTGTTTCAAAATACTGAATTCTACCTACTTAGTGCTTCTTATACATTGATAATTTAGGTCATAATTACTTTTACTACTTACTCATTGACCAATAATTTTATTCCAATTCATCAAACTGGATATGTACTAAAATAATACAATGTGACTACAACAACCTCATTTACTTTAATTATTAATTTCTATTTGGTCATTAAGTGAATGTTTCAAATTTTGGAATCTACTGATTTTCAAGCAATCCAAGAGATTGAATTTCAAAACTTTTCTCTTTTAAAAATCACACGTCATAGTATGATCGCAGCCATGCCCCTTTACCAAAAATGATTTGCAAATATGGAAATGGTTTTCACTTTCAAAAAACCACATCTATCGTATTTTATTCTTTTTTAGGAAAAAGTTTTCTCGGATCTATCGGACTGATAAGATTATTAATAGAAAAAAAATATAACCCCTTCATTTATTAATAGGCTTACGAAAGAATTAGTCAATTCCATTACACAGTTCTAATTTAAACATGCACATCTGAAGAATATAATCTCAAAAGTTACCTGGTTATGGAGCATATCTCTTTCAGAAGGTGCCAGCCCTGGATTGAGAGCCGCCAATCTCCACAATACGACGACCTCATCGCATAGTGACGAGCATGCGTGTTGCGACGCATGTGTATTGCTATTCACGTTATTATGTTTGCCGCCTCCGCTGCCACCGTATCCAGAATTCCCGCTAAGAAGAGCGACTTTAGTGTTGAACCACCAAATCAAGATCTGTTCACATGCCAGACACTCTTCGGTTATGATCTCCAGTAGAGGTATGGCGTTTCTATCATTTCGTTTGAACATTTCGCGGACGATACTGAGCAAATTCCACATTCCTTCTGGTTCTCTGCCTCGAAGAGGTCTTAATAGAGAGGTCCATTCTGCTGCAGCTGGAGGTGCTACAGTGCTCAAATAGTTCACATCGCTGGAAGAAATTCTAAAATAATCAGGTGGTAACAACATTACTTAAAATTAAAAAAAGTATATTATATGCACAAATAAATGAATAATATTAAGAAAAAACAGTGAAAATCTAAAAATATTAGAAAGATGAGATATATAGATTTTTATTTGATCATACTATAAATATACATTTGTAACAAGTCATAAACAGTTGGTACAAATCAGTGTGCAAATACAAAAAACAATATAAAAACAGCAATAAATTCAAAGTTGAAAATTATTTACAAAATAGGTAACAAATAATGTATCGAATTATACAAAAATTTCTTGAATATATAAATAGATGTATATGTACATTGCCTGAAGTGAAGGATCTCATAAATTTATAATAGCATATTATATGAAACTAGTATTAATCGCTACATATTGAAACGAGCTATGGTGTCAGTGGATGTTCCTGCAATTCTGGAACTCTTAGGTACCAGTCGAGATAATGGTAAACGGCCAGATGGTATGTCTGTCATACCATGGAAATACAGTAAACCTGTGGTAAGGGACTTCACTTGCGTTGACACGGTCGCGGCTTTCCATCTAGTCGAAAGTTCGAAGTCTGTTGGAACTGCAGCATTGTCTGGCAAAAAAAATCTGTTCCATCCAGTAGCGGTTGAAACTTTTGGTGTTTATAGCTTGGAGTCTCTGTAATTCTCTCATGAACTTAGAAGGAGATCAGGCCAAGCATTGAAAGATTACCTTTCGACCTCTTTTTTGATAGAAAGAATTAGTATTGCTATTCAACATGTTAATGCTGCTTCGGTCTTTGGAACTATTCCTCCATCACATAATTTTGATGAGATCATGCATTTCCCTCATTTCAGTACGGAACTGAAATAGCTTCGTAACAAGCCGAGATATGTGTAAATTCATCAGTCTCCTATTAAGGTTAATTCACAAGTGATTGATCCACCTTCTTCTGTTTCATTGAGGTCAATGGACATAAGTCATTTTTGCCCCCCAAATATAAGCTACAGTTCTCGTAATTTTGGTTCCCTTTCAGTGGAAGAGCTTCATGGAGCAAGAGCCAAATCGATACCTTTACGAAACCCTTCATTACTTGGAAGGATCGACTGCAGATTGAGAATTGGTTCTGATGCAGATTATGAGGAACATGTTCTTCCTTACGAATCAGTAGACAGTTGTCCTTGAGTCTTACAAAATAAATTGGAATAGATAATTTAGGTAACCCTTGCTACATGAATAGCATTTTATAAGTATTATTCATGACGAAGACCTTCAAGAACGAAGTTTTAACGATGAACGAAAACGAAAATGTTTCCTACTTATTCACCAAACTCAAGCAACTGTTCATGCAGCTGCAGTTTCGTAAGAATGTATCACCTTTCCCATCAACCGATTTCCTAGAGTCTTTAAGCCCACTAGATACTCGGATTATTCCGAATTTTTGGGGTTCTTGTTGAATACTTGTGAACATGAACATAGCAGAATCAATACTCCTGACCGCTCTGGATTGAATGATTCCATACAGTCTATCTCGTCTTATGTTTGTAGATCTTTTGCTGGAAAAATCCTCACTAGCTTACTTTGTAGTACATGTTCAAGAGGTAGCAAAACCGTATGTGACTTTCTGGAACTTCAACTACCGTTTCTTAATATGACTGATAACCAGTCCGTGCAAAGCTTATTGTTAAATCATCTGAAAATAGAACTTTTAACGGGTGATGATCAACTGTATTGCCAAATATGTGCCAAACTGAGTATTATAAGATAACAAGTATAGCTGAGGCACCAGTCAATCTAATAATAACACTGATGATCTTCAAACATGACTCAACCTCTGACGGATGCACCAAACTTTTACGAAAGTTTGAAATAAATGAACACTTCAATCTACTAGACCACAATTATAATCTTTATGCAGTCATTGTTCACTGTGGTTCTGGCGTTGAATCATGTCATTATTACGCATTGGTCAAAGACAAAACGGACTGGTTTAAGTTTGACGATAGTCGTGTCACAAAGTGTTCTCGCGATGTTTCGAATTTATTGGAGCCTCTGTAGACATCCTACATTTTGTTTTATGAAAGAGAGGACATTGGCAGATCAAGATCTTCAGAAGATGTGGTGCTGCAGGTTTTTCCAGATTTTCCTGCAGCTGAAAAAACAAATGCGCCACTGGAATCAATCAAGTCGCCACGGAGCGCCAGTTAATTTTTGTTGTTGTTTCATAATTTCATAAATTGTATTACTTACTTTTTGTATATGTTTCTATAATGTAAAATATAATCATCGCGAAATTGAAAAAAAACATGAGTGTTCATTTTTGTCCAACCCAAGAGTTTCCATAATCATAAATTTACAGAAGTAAAAGCAAAAAGTCCAATTTTAAGTGTGAATGACATAATTCTAACAGAAAAGTAGTTGTTATCTTTCATTTACCAATAAACATTATTTAACTTTCATATCTCAAGAAAATGAATCATGAGATAATTTCAGAAATGGTGTTGCAGTTCGAAAATGTCACGAACGGGTATGCTTGAAAACACTACAAATACTCTACTTCAATCATAGGGGAGGGTGGAGCACAAAGAAACAGGTGGTGTACCGTGCCTACCGAAAGTTCTAGTGTAACAGGATTCCGGTAGAAAGTGTTGAGGGTGACTCTAAACCTGGTTTTGGATCGCTCCCTTTTCACAGTTGTGTGATAGACTCCACAAGCTAAAGTGTATAAGACAACGAAAACACTACTGATATCTTTACTTAAGTCAGGACACTTTTCCGCAAAAAATAAAGCATTTTTCAATACTGTTTTGGTAAGACCGTTATACAACCACATTTCGAATATTGTCCCACTCTTCTATTCACAGGTGATTTAAATAAAATTACAAAAACTACAGAATCGCGCGATGATTATTATTTTGAGATGTGACAAGAGTACCCATATATTTTTAATGTTGAATACTCTAGAATGGTTATCTATAGAAAGTAGGCTTACATATTTAACGATGATCTATATTTACAAAATGTTGCATAACCATCTACCTACATATTTTGACAAACTTGTAATTTTTGATAATCAAATCCATCAATATAATACTAGAATAAGAAATAATTTGTATATAAATAATCAAACAAAAACATTCAACACTAAAACATTAATTTTTAAAGGATTTATTAAGTATAACAGTCTACCTGAAAATGTAAAGTCTTCTAACAGTTTTATTCTGTTCAAAAGAAATCTATTAGACCATTAAAGAGACCATCAAGGTGATACCAAATTATTATGTATTATTTTTTTTTATTTTCAATTATCGTAGGTACGACTACTTATTAACAAATAATATCAGTAGACCTTTTTTTCTATTATTGTGTTTATATGTATATTAATGTTAACATTATTATCATTGTTGTATATTAGGATGTATCCTATTTGAATAAAGCATTCCATTTTATTTTATTTCATGGTATATAGTATCAGCATTTTTAATATTATATGAATTTCAATTTTACCATCCGTATAATTAGACTGTGATAACTTGTTTGTATAATTAATGAATGAATCCCCTGAAAACCTTACCTAAATACTATAGGTGCTGGAACACAAAACTTAATCAGTATTTTCTTTATGTTATCGTGCAACGTCTTTTCATCGAGGTACCAAGAGGTTTGATCGTTCGCAGAAGCTCCAGCTGTCGGGTCCGGAGCACCGCACACCGAGTTGATGGCGGACGGCTGAGATCCCAAAAGTTCATCTAGAAGTCTTTGAGCAGTTGGGAGAATTTGTTGCGGTAGTTCGCTGATTAGATACTGTGCGAATTTTTGTAACTGATCCCTCTGGAGGCGTGACAACGATTCCGATACCGGGGCGCGTAACGTTACCAAGTGGGGCTGAAAAGAAATTATTTTAATTCCGGAAGTTGGAAAAAAAAAAATTAATTTTTTACTCAAAATATTCATATTTATGGGAATCAAGAAGTGCTTCAACTGATATGCGATATAAAAGACTATGTTTGAAAGTCATTTCCTCCAATTCCACTTGTGATGAATCACAAGAAAGGTCAGAGGTTAATTGCACAAATTGAAATATCTTAGAGTTTACCTTGAATGTATTTCAAAAACAAAGTTATTCAAAAAATACATTTTCAAATGAATTTACATATATTATCAGAGAAGTATGAAATGTGCTACCGAGATATGTTTTCTTAGAAAAAAATGTATAACTTATTTACGTGGAATGTTCAAAAAATAAGGTGAATGTTCAAATTTCGCAGGATAAGTACATTCGAAGAGAGGACTGGATCCTCCGGGAGAAGGAAATATTAAGAGCAGATAGTTGTTGGTTCACAGATGAATCGAAAACACCTTCCGGTTCTGGTGCAGGTGTTTTCAGTCGCAGACCCAGGACAGAGATATCAACCTGCCTAGGAACCTATGCGACTGTATTTCAAGCGGGGATTTACGTTCTTCAATTGTGTGCGGATAGATTGGAAGAATCCAACCTCATACAAAATGCTGAATTTCTTACATGATACGCCCCTGTCATGTTTTATGACAACTATCATGATGACAGAAGAAGAGAAATTGTCAAACAACGATAGTTAGAAATGTTGTTTTTGTAACTTTGTAAAATATACATTCATTAAATATATGCAACAGCAGTTTCAATGACCAGAACCAGCACAGAGTCGAGTGGTAGCGATAGGAGTACAGAAATAAAGATACAAATACAGTCCACTTCAACAGCAAGGCACTCCAGCACCACAAGATTATACACAACATTCAAAAATATTCTCGGACAGTCAAGTGGCGTTGGAAGCTCTTGGCTGCTACCGAGCAACATCTAAATTGGTAGCAAATTGCCAAAAACGACTTTCCTCAATAGGAAGACTTGACAAATTGTTTCTGGTCTGGATTCCTAGCCATACTGGCTGGAAGGCAATGAGGCTGCTGTCTTGGAAAGGTGGGTGCTTTATCGGACCAAAACCTATCATTGGCATCACTTTAGGCTTTGCCAAATAAAGATTGAACACCTGAATGGCAAGAAGATTCATGGAATTCTGGCAGAATCTTTCAGGATTGGCCCACTCCAAGGCATTTACTCACCCTTTGAAGCTTGACACCAAACAGTTGTTGGACTACAGTAAGGATAAACCACGATGTCTAAGAGACAGGTCACTGTCATTTGAATCATGATACGCAGAGACTCGGGCTTTCGGAAGACAGTGTGTGTCGCCTCTATTTCGAAAATGATGAAACAGCAGAGCACATACTTTGTGCTTGCCCCGCTGGGGACCGAATCAGGTTTTTAGAGTTCGGCAGAGCCGTGCTCTTACCATCTGACCTGAAAGACCATACAAACTAATCGGCTTCGTTAAGAAGCTGGCTTTATTTGGTCGAGTGTGAATAGGTGTGAGCCACAAAAAATCCTTGCGGGTTGCGGTGTAGGGTCAAATAGACCCACTCACTTTGGACCTAATCTAACCTAACATTCGATTAGCATTTTTTATTTTGGTATGTTGATACACTCGTATCTAACATATCTTCATATTTTCAGCTGTTTATTTGACATATTTAGATTGTTGTTGAGAGACATAACAGTTAAGAGTGTTTTGTATGTTCGGCGATTTTCTGCTATGGACAAAAATTGATCATTGCTTGAAAAGCGTGCATTATCGTGATGGGAAAGCCTTGAATTGTTTTTCCACAATACTGGATTTTTTTCCGTATCTATTCTCTCAAGTGGTGCCTAACTTCAAGATAATGCTACCTATATGACCATATGACCATGTGGCAAGAACTACTGATACACTACGCCACGGTAATTGAAGAAAACAGCAAGCATAGCCTTGACAATTGTTCGAACTTGGTATGCTTCTCTTGGTATTGGCTCTCCTGAGCTCTACCATTGGGACAATTGTACTTTGGTTTCGACGTCGTAACCATATACCCATGACTCGTCACCATGTTATGATCCTTTTAAGCAAATTTGGATCGCCATTGACGTCATTCAACAATTCCTGAGCGATGCTCATGCGACGGTTTTTTTGGTCAAAATTCAGCAATTTCGGAACGAGCTTCGCTGTCAAACGCTTCATGCCAAAATTTCCGAAAAAATTACATGACATGATCCAACCGATATGCCAACATCCTCAGCAACTTCTCTTGTGATGATTCGACAATTCTCCATAACAATTTTCTTCACTTTTTCAACAACTTTGTAATTTTTTGACTAAAAACAACACGTAATCATGTCTCAGTCGCCGTATTTACCAGATTTGGTCCCCACGACTTTTTCCTTTACCCAAGGTTGAAGAGACCCATGAAAGAACGGCGTTTTGCGACCATTAAGGAGATAAAAACCGAATCACTGAGATAGCTCAAGGACATACCTAGTGCATATCAGAACTGCTTCGAAGGATTGGAAAAACGCTGGCACAAGTGTATTATATCTGAGAGAGACTACTTTGAAGGTGACAAAATAGAAATTGTAGAATAAATGAATATTCTTTGAGAGAAAAGAAAATTCACCTCATTTCTTAGACAGACAGCGTGCCAAGTATGAAGTAAGTATCAAAGGTAATGAAAATGTATTTTCAGTAATTTATACCTCTTCAAGATAATGACAAATGTTTTTCAATTTATTCTTACATTTATTATGTTTATTATTTCTCTAAAAAATTATGAGAGATGAAGCCCAGGGACTATTTACAGTGTTTTACAGCAATTATATGCACTCAAACTTTTTCAACCGATTAAAATGGAACAAACATCAGAACCTGATAAAATTGAAATATTTCACATAAATTCTACAATTTGGGTCAATTGAAATCCACTATGAAGTGCAACACTGTGAACACTAATCAGTAACCTTCGATCCTTTCTGGGATTTGTCTCTTCCCATACCATAAAGAACTGGCTAATTGAGTTTGTCACATTGCTTGGATTCCTTCACAAGAGAGGAAACTCTGGATGGAGATGAAAAACCAATGTATTCGGGGTGCCAGCAAAGAAGAAAATGTACAAACTCCTTATCAATCTATAAGTTTCCCGTATTTTAGTAATTCATTTGAAAAAATTCTCTCCAACGGAAAGATTCAGAGGCGAATTGAATGTTCCCTTTGACTTTCCTTTAGATGATGAGCAATTACGTTGCAGATAACGTGGCTCCTTGTCGTTATAATCTGTATGCACTTTCAAATCACAGTGGGACTACTTACAACGGGCATTACACAGCATATTGCAGACACCCATATAGTGGCACGTGGCATGAATACAACGATTCACACGTGTTCCCAATTTCGCCAAAATCAGTTGTGAGCGATGAACAGGAGGGAACGAAGCAGCACCTTTGATGGAAATAAAAAATAATCCTTTACGGATTTATGTACGAAGAAGTAACACTTCTTCACTACAGTGTCGACCAATGGGTACTTCACCCTTGTGAGTTGATTACCGGAACGGTATGGTCCTTTCTTACCCTTGACTATTTATAGTTTGGGATTGCAGGTGAGGCAACGAAAGCATAATCACCTCCATAGTGAGGTTATCTACGTTCAACACCTGCTCCCTTATATTTATTTGTGTAAGTTTCCTTTGTCGAAATAGGTACATTGTCACTCTCTCCTATATAAAGACTTCAAAAATGTGTAATCTTTCACCGAGGTCGTACTTTTTTTAAGGCCCTCTAAGAGCGGTGCCTGTGCGAATGTAGCGATTCACATTGGATTTGAATCGCTGGAGTTTGAATCCATTTCGAAAAACGTTCTCAGGAAGTTTATTCCACAAAAACGCAGTTTTCCAGATGAAAGAGTTCTTAAACAGTGAAGTTTGAGGTGTACTGAGTTGAACCTCAAACTGATGAGCAGCCACAGTCCATCTAGTATTTTTTATGTGTCCCGCTCTTGGTGGAATCAAATATGCCAAGTCACTTGAACACTTCCCGTGAAAGTATCAATAGAAGAGAGACAAATTCCCAATCTTTCTTCGACGCTCCAGACTATCAGGGTTGCAAGTGATGTTCGCGTCTTCAGTCAGGCGGATGGCTCTTTTCTGAATGGAATTCAGCAGCTTCAGGGTATGCTTAGGGGCATAGCTCCATACATGAGAACAATACCCCAAACATGGTCTGATCTGAGCTTAATAAAGCATCAAAAGTTGCTGAGCTATGTTTCAGCAATGCATTTGATATTGAACTGTTCGATATTTGATGAAAATACATAACAAAGATGGAGAAGTAGAAAGCCAAATCATTTGTTCGCAAAAAACAATAAACGTAATGAAAAATTACCGTAAAAATCTCAGAAAAAAAGTGTTAAAATAAGCAAAACATTTGTTAACCTTTCGGAAACATTTTCACCAATATATTGAAATTGTGCTAATTTTAGAGAATACTAGGCGATACTCCCCGGCTCTACAGAGGTAGCACCACCGCCCCGATGAAAACCGTATGAATATACGTTAGGTAGCTTTTGAGTTTATCGCTTTAAGACAGATAGACAGAGGCAGCGGAATTCTGGAGAAACATAACATGGAATTGTGCCGCCACTGTGAATGGATCATTTACAGTATTTCAGCAATCGGACGATTTATCCATCATTATATTTGAATCATATTTCAGTTATAATTATGAGTTTTGTAAATGCTTCTTTTTTCAAGGGATGATAATCTAGTTTGTTTATGTAAAAACTCAGAAACCATAGAATTCGACAATTTTTAGTGAAATTCGATAGAAACAGTGTGTCAGTAGTGTAAGTAAACGACTGGGAAAGTTATCAATATTTTTCCTCAGGCTCACAATTTTCATTTCATTCAGAAGGGTCGCAAAGTGCGTGACATCTATGTTTGATGATTCGAACATCAAACTTGTTATTACATTTACCTAGAGTAGTTTTCTTTTGAATAAATGTAAAACTCAGTTCTTCATATGACTTCTAAATACTCAAAATCGGTAAACCAATCAGAAAATTTATTCGGGTCGGCAAAGAAAATTTTACTCGAGGCACGTATGTAAAATCCATTATAGTTTATTATATTATAGATAACAGAGGTAATAAGACATTCCATTTCAAAAAATTTCTTATTACTCAACAATTAATGCTCATTTCAAATATGGTTTTGAAACACAAATGAGTTTCTATACAACTGAACACACACACACACACACACAACCATTTATTTACATCGTTTGTTGGATACCTGTTGGCTACCTATCCTCAATTGCACACAAATAAAGCCATTAGAAACGGGGCCACGACCACCACCAATAGAATAAAACCAGAGACAAATTCCAATAACGTAATATCTGCTGTCAAAACAACCCAAGCATTTCGTTTGTTGCCTCATCGCCTTCGATAATGGCTACCGCAATAGTAGACGAAACGAAAAGCCTGCAAACCCGGAAAATAGTTTCGACACAATCTTTTTACAGTTTGTGCTCTGATTACCAAACCTCCCATTCATTTTGTTTTCACAAATCGTTATGGGGAAATAAAAAATAATCCTTTACGGATTATGTACGGAGAAGTAACACTTATTCACTACAGTGTCGACCAATGGGTACTTCACCCTTATGAAACACCGGCAACGCTGACTGTTGAGAATGAAAAGAATGAGTTGATTACCGGAACGGTTTGGTCCTTTCTTACCATTGACTATTTATAGTTTGGAATTGCAGGTGAGGCAACGAAAGCCTAATCACCTCCATAGTGAGGGAATCTACATTCAACACCTGCTCCATTATATTTATTTGTGTAAGTTTCCTTTGTCGAAATAGGTACATTGTCACTCTCTCCTATATAAAGACTTCAAAAATGTGTAATCTTTCACCAAAGTCGTACTTTTTTTCAAGGCCCTCTAAGAGCGGTGCCTGTGCGAAAGTAGCGATTCACATTGGATTTGAATCTCTGGTGTTTAAATCCATTTCGAAAAACGTTCTCAGGAAGTTTATTCCACATAAACGCAGTTTTCCAGATGAAAAAGTTCTTAAACAGTCAAGTTCGAGGTGTACTGAGTTGAACCTCAAAATGATGCGCAGCCACAGTCCGTCTAGTATTTTTTATGTGTCCCACCATGTGTCATCAATCCGGCCCGCGACAGCCAATGATTTACTGTCATCAATCCGGCCCGCGACAGCCAATGATTACCTAATTGTTGTTACTATTTCTGTGATAAGTTGAAGAAGAAAACACAGAATGATAATTACTCGGTTTTATTTACTTGCAAGGTAAAACTTAACGACAGAAATGATGACAAAGAAAACTTAACTCAAGTATCTAAGTTTAAGCATATTAATAACTAACAAATAATTGAAATGAATCACAGTAAAACAAAAACACTAATGAGATTTATGTAATTGTGATTTTCCACCGACAATACTTTGTAGTTGTGGATCAATTTTACTTGTAC